GCAGAATCTTTAGTGAGAAAATGTGAAATTATTCATTATAGATGGGATTTTGGTTGCCTAGCAGGTCAGGAGTTCTGCTGCCAACCCAAGGAGAGGCGGTTCGAATCTACCACGACTCTGAGGGAGGGTGGGCAGTCTCCTTTTGTGTGATTTACAGCCTCTGAGTGTTCTGACTTAACGCAATGAGTGTGAGTGAGTTTTAGATGAAGTACACGTATAGAAGCAAGCACAGTAAGGCTCGGCCGACTGTTTACAGGGCAGCTTGTCTCAGAGCCCCCGATGTGTCTTCCCCTCTTAGAATCCATCATCTCTCGACCTAGACTGTTGTGAGGATCAGGTGAAATAAGATGTGGTGAGGGTTTGGTGCCTAGTAATGGTGGCAATGGTGGCTTACCTAAAGCCCACCCAGCAGAGTTCTGAGATTCAGCCCTGGGACCCAGTTTCTCTGTCTAGAAGGCACATCTTGCTCACAATCCTGGGATCAACACAGTGCACAAGGTTATATTCGGGTTAGTGCTAAGGGGAGTAAGCCTTTGTTTTATTTTTATGGCATTAATCCTGAGAACTGGCAGTGCCATGCTGCAGTTGTGAAAGGGGCTAACACTCAAGGGAACTTTGGTTCAGTGCTACTCACTGTTGGTTTTTTACTAACCATTTTTCCCCAGCCCCCAGCCCTTGGTAATACCAATTTTTCTTCTCAGTGAATTTGCCAACTTTAGAAAGCACACTGCTCTCTGTGCTTTACAGAGAAACTGGGTCCTGCAAAATAAATACTGTCACCACCCCATATTACTGATAGGGAAAATGAGGTACAGAAGGGTTAGGTAGCTTGCTTGAGGCCATGCAGAAAGGAAAGAGCGGAGCTGAGATTTGAAATTGGGTGTGTGGGTGCTAGCTCCATGCTTTAGTTCCCTCTCCCACTCCTCTTGCTAAGCCTCACAGCTTGTGAGCGGTAGTGGGAGAGACAAGCACAGGTGGTAAGATGCTGAGCCTATCTTTTTACTGTCTCTGTTGAGGGGACTCTTGTTACTGTTCCTCCAGGTGAGCTGGACTGGGCAGCACAGTGAAGACCTCTTGGTTCTACTCAGGGTACCTTTAGGTGGGTGGGTGAGGAGGAAGCATCCCAGGTCCAGCAAAGAGAAGGGCCAATGGCATTGACACAATGATGGGGATGCATCAATGGGAACAGCTCTGAGGTGGTGCCATATCTTGAAAGCAGAGATGGGACCAGAAATCCAAACCTCTACACTAGCATGCATCCTGTTCCCAGAAGTGCTCATCCTCTCAGAGGGAACCAGGTGTAGCCCAGAGAGGATGTATGCAGAGATGTCTGTGCCCACAGGATGTCGGATGAATGGGGTTCACGTCACATTTGCCACCATCTGAGCAGTACATTCCCATCAATCCTTGCCCCTCAGACAGGCCATTTTCCCCTCAGATAAGAATGGATCTTTTCTTATTTAGGTTTCAGCTAGCTTCCTATTCAACTATAATGTACTCATGTGTATGAAAGAATTCATTTAGTGGCACATGGTGTATCTACTGACATGGGTTACTGTGTGTTGGAACTTCCTAAATGGCAGTGAACTTTTTTGAGTTTTTGAGATGTTGTAACATTAAAGAGTACATACGTACTCTTGGTATATCTGAATTAGTGAGACTGGCTCAGGACAGGGCAGAGTTCAGAGCTGCTGTACAACTCGATGGCATGTAACAACAACAATGTCCTCTTCAGGGTCAACTTCTGGGTCTTGGGTGCCCTTCCAGAAATATCCCTGTGCCATCTCTCTCCATCTTGCATAGTTTACCCACTATTCAAAAATATGCCTTTACTGGATCCTGACACATCTTGGAAATTAGATAATTTCCCAAGGAGACAAAAGCTCCCTTTTTTCTGTGAAAGACTGCCTGTGGAAGGTCCCTTTGTGAGCCCATGCCAGGCACCGGGCTGTCTCCTGTCATTGGCAACCACAGATAATGCTGCATCCAGCATACAGTTGGTCTTTATGATCTGCAGATTTTGTATTTGTGAATTCGTTTACTTGCTATAATTTCTTTGTTATACCAAAATCAATACCTGTGCCTCTGTAGTGATCATCCTGTGCAGATCTGTGAAAAATCAGAGTTGCCTGAAAAATGCATGCCTAGCTGAGAGTGAACAAGGCAATGTCCTGTTTTCTTGTTTTATCTCTTGTACTGTAGACAAGTATCCTTTTTAATGGTCTATTTAGGGCCATATTTTTCACATTTTTATGTGAAAATGTTTCACATTTTATTTAAGTTATGGTTTTGTTAAGTGGCTGCCAAGCATCGTGTTGAAGTGCTATCTCGTGTTCCTAAGTATAAGCAGGCTGTGATGTGTCTTGTGGAGAAAACCACCTTTGTTTAGGCATGAGTTACAGTGCTATTGGCTGTGAGTTCAATGTTAATGAATCAGCAATAGAGCGCATCCAGGAAGAGAAATTTACCAGTTTGTACAGGAGTCCTTCAGAAAGCACTAAGGTACATAATGAAGCCATGGAAATGATAGAAAAGCAGCTAAATGTGTGGTCTCATGAGATGACAACAGATAGATCTTTAAAAAGCATCATGGACAACAAGAACTTTGTGGTCAGGTTACCCAGGATCAGGCAGATGCTAAGCCCTTCTCAGAATGTTTCATTTTAAACAAAAGCTGCAAGTAACTATTTGCAGGAAATATAGATTAGATATAGTGTCTTTAAACAGAAGCACACCAAGCAAAATTATGTTGATCAGTAAGGTGCCCTGGTGGTACAGTGGTTAAGCACTTGGATGCTATTTGAAAATCCAGTGTTTTGGACGCATACGCCTCTCAACAGGAGAAAGATGAAGCAGTCAGCATCTGTAAACATTACAGCCTTGGAAACCCTAACGTGGCAAGTCTAATCTGTCGTATGGGGTCACTAAGAGAATGTACTCTGCAGCAAGTTTGGTTTGGCTTGCATTGATCAGTTAAAGTATTATGACTCAATTCTCATAGGAACCTATGCCTGTATTTTCCCTAGACCATTGACTTGGTTCACGTATTCGGTGTTTGTGATGACTTTAGAGCACACTACTGAATAATGACAATCAGTGGTGTATGTGTCTACTATACATATGCACATAGGATTCTACAAAGATATCTGTTGCATAAATTCTTAGAAGTGCGAGAGTTCTGGTCAACAGATGTGCACATTTTTAATTTGGAGAAATTGCCAAACTATGTTCCTAAAAGGGTTCTTGAATTTCAATTCTCACTGTTGTCAAGCTGTTTGATCTTTACTGATCTAATAAGAAAAAAATTGATTCTCATCATAGCTCTTATTTGTGTATGAAATGGTCCCAAAACATTGTATTAAAAAGGGAAAAGCAGCTTTATTAATTTTTTAAAAATAGAATAATAGGAACACAGTGTTAATGCTTATGTGGTTGCTTTATTTCAGTAGTATACAAGGAAAATCCTGCCAAAAGGATGAGCTATGAAGGGAAAAAGACTGCTTAGTTAATGAAAGAAGTTATTGAATAGATGTTGGTATGCAAGAGGTTTCATGCTGAAAGTTAGATTTATGCCTTCCTGTGCAGAGGTCTCTAGAACCTCTTCTTGGCAACCCTCATCACAGTACTCTTCCAAGCTGTGGCCCCAAGTGGCTGCTGAGTCTCTCAGCTGGGTGTGAGCCCAGCTCATGGTCCTGGAGACAAGGACCCTTTAACCATCCCAAATCACTAGAGGCCTTGCAGCGGTCAGGCACTGTCCTGGATCTATAATGTAGAGTCAAAGTGTTGCACAACATGTGTGCCGGATGCGAGTTACAAAAAAGGGAATCCCACGCCTGGAGAGAGCAGAACAGACAGCACTTTTGTAAAAAAATTAATTCCAAATTTCCTTACCTAACATAGTCTTCGCTCATTGTTCAGGGCCTCAAACCTGTTCCTGAGATGGTTCTGAAATTCAGGTGGGATATACTCAAAGTCATATTTTGGTTGCCTTGGATTTGGTTTAATTTTCCTCCCCTTTAAGAGGTCACTTTCAATTAAAAAATAAAAGAATAAAACAACAAAAAAGAGGCACTTTCTCTTTTTGTTAATAAGGAAGAAAAACACTCACCGGGCTTATTTTGGTTTGAAGTTAGGAGTAAAATGTAAGCTCCTCAGTAACATAGACATTCTTCACTTTTTGCTGATGCTGCTGTTTTTATACCTTAGAAAGTTTACCATTTAGGACACAACACATATTTGGGGGACACAGTTCCATCTGTGTTTGCATAGGTTTGAAAAGACAGAACCAACATGACAACCATTACCTCCTGTTTGAGAAAATACTGTTTTCAGATGAAAATATAGAAAAAAATTAAGTCAAACAAGCTTCTCGGCTAAGAAGCCTACCCTGAAGAGAAGGATTGTCAGAAAAGTAGGAGGTTTACTGCTGCTGTTGTGAGCATAGCGCTTGCTCGTGGTACAGTGTCGCAACGCAGGAAAGGCAAGGCCAGATCTCTAGTACCTGCCCTGGCCAGCCACAGGAGGCTACTGCTGCCTTGCAATGACTTCTTTCGAGTGTTTTCTGGGCACATTACATTAGAGGTGGGATGTCTAGGTGGCTGGATTGTTCTGTAGTCCTTTGCTGTTATAAAAGTTGCCACAAGAAAAGCTTCTCCCTTCTATTTTTGCACTCAAGTGTGTCCACAAGACAAATTTTCAGCAGTGGAATTGAAGGGGGAAAGTTTCATTCTTTTTTTCAAGTAGTGACACCTTGTTCATGAATCCTTTTATTCGGATTGGTAAGAATGGGATAAACGAGCAAGAACTCCTTTGCAGAGTAGGAGGGGAGTGAAATCTGAGTGTAGCTGTCTTAGAGATGTCTTGGTTCTCTCCGTAGGCTGGCCAGCCCTGGGAGCCCCATTGAAATGTCACTTTTGCATTCTCAGAAGTGTTTTCTTCTAAGCATGAACCAAGTGTTTTAAACATGTGCAATTTTTTACTCCCCTCTTTTGACAGGAATCTTTGCCTACATGAACTATAGAGTCCCTCGGACAAGGAAGGAGATTTTTGAAACCCTCATCAAGGGCCTGCAGCGACTGGAGTACAGAGGCTATGACTCAGCAGGTGGGCCCATGGGCAGGTGCTGCTCACCTTGTATTCTTTATGCACATTTTTCTGATGTTCCCTCCAGTATTCCTTTCCGTTTTAAAATAAAGCTTTTGGAAATGATACAAAAACAGAAAAGAAAAAAAAGGAACACATAAGGAGGGGGAAAAGCCACACATCAAAGTGTAGCCCTTTTCAGTATCTGTGTGTGTCTCTTTCAGTCAGGAATCCATGTCCCTGGTAGTTGGAGGTGACAGGGTAGGAGGTAGTGTCTGTACATAAGTATTATTTTTTACTTTTTCATGTAATTTTAACCTCTACTTAGGCATTTTTTTTACTTTCTTTGCTTTCTCCCCACCTATTTTAAGAATAATTTTTCATTATTCTAAATTTGTCCTGAGTATCTAAGGGGCCATACTGTACTGACGGCTGTCTCCTGAGTCTACCACTTCCCCACTGCTGTCAAGCTGCCTGTGTCTTCCGGCTTCCCCTGTGTGTTAGCCTGGAACTGAGCTCCAGGTGGTTTTCAATGGCTGATTTTCTGCATCTACAAGCTTTTCCTCTTGGTGGACTCAAATCTCTAGCTTTCCAGTTTTTATTTTTTTTAATTTATTTTTTCCCCTATAATTATATTATTAATTTTCATAAACATTTACAGAGATTTTGGGTTTCCATTCATTCATTGTTGCACTATTCTCTCCCCTCCTCCCAGTTTGTTCTTGTCCAAATGCCACAGTGCTTGTCAAAGCCAGTTCTGATTAATCTTCTTTGTCAGTGTGTCCTTTGCCATTCCCTATCACTCCTCCCTGAGAGAGACTTCACCCTGAGTCAAGGAAAAGGGGATGGCGTATTCTCTTAGCTACTTCCTGCTGAAAGCTTTCCAGTTTTGACAGAGCAGGTTAACCATTTGCACCACTCCAGGACTCCTCCTGACAAGCGTGTATTAGGATTTCATTCCATTTTTAATTACACATCCATAGGAGAAAGGGAGAGGCATGTCTGCAGCCAGACACGTGTTTGTATTTATATCTCTATTCTTAATGAAAAGCAAGTTAGCTAAAAATTGCAAGAAGACAAATGCAATAGCTCCAGCTAAAATATGAATCTTCAAAAAGCATAACAAGTTTAAGTACCCTTGAATAAGCCCACTGCTGCAGTGATGGGCTTGGTGATGCCTCTCCCAGACTAGACTTCACAGTGCCCGTCCTGCTTAGTTCTCGAAGAAGCTGGTCACAGCCCACACATGGCACAGCGTGCAGCTCCTTTCCTTGTTTGTTAAGTATTACCATGAGCACAGGCTTTTTATTCAAAGCAAGGTTTCTAAAAATGAACAGTTCTTTTTGGGTCATAAAGTCTGGGGAACAAGAGCTTCTGTAAACAGCACCATGCAGTTTATCTAATCCAGTGGGGTATCCGGTGATGAAAGGTGGGAGACTAAAACTCACCACCGTCAGGTGCCTTCCACCTCTTAGAAACTCCTCTTCATAGGAGACTGGGAACTCTAGAATAAGTACAAACCACAATGTTTAACTTACAGGTGTGGCAATCGATGGAAATAATAATGAAGTCAAAGAAAGACATATCCAGCTAGTCAAGAAAAGAGGAAAAGTCAAGGCTCTTGACGAAGAACTGTACAGTAAGTGGAGAAGCACTCTGAGTTAGAGGACTCAGTGTGAGTGTGGGCCACTGTATAAGGTTTTATTCCACTAGCGTTCTAGACTCAGAGAACTAACGTAGAGCAAAGAAGGATGGTTCAATCACTGTGGAAAAACAGTCTTTCTCTTTACTGTAGTGGTGCATAAAGGTTTTTAACTCTTGAGTAGTTGAATATATTTTCATTTTCATGGCAGATGATGATGATGCTTTCCATTTTTAGAAGTGACAGAATTTTCTCTTCCAATAAATTATATTAGTTAAAGAGTAGGTTAAGTTACTGATCAATATGCATCAGTAATACATCGATAATGGTTATATGGTGGACAGCGTTTGGCACTCCCAGATTTAAAAAGGCTTGGAAGCAGGAGTGGCATCCATTTTTGAAATAGCTTGCTTCTGGAAACTCTATGAACTTAGAAAAACTATGAAAGTTATACGAGTGTTCAGGTCTTTTCATAGGGTCGCTATGAGTCATCTATGACTTGACAACACTTAACAACAACAACGACATCAGCAACAACCAAATATCAGCTAAGGGTCTGGATCTGGTAGAAACACCCAGGATGGGACATGAGTGGTGATGGTGGGGTGTGTTGTTCGTAGAGGTGTTGGCCCTTGGTGCTGTCCTGTAGAAACACTTTGCCTTAATACAATTGTGTCAATAAGTATGTGTAAAATGCAACAAATTGGCTTCTTTTTCATTTAGAGCAAGATAGCATGGACCTAAAGGTGGAATTTGAGACCCACTTCGGCATTGCCCACACTCGCTGGGCCACCCATGGGGTACCCAACGCTGTCAACAGCCACCCACAGCGCTCAGACAAAGGCAACGGTATGTAGCATGGCCTTGCAATGAACTGGGTTGTACATGGTCAGGTCAGAAGTGTCTGATGACTCACACGTGGTTATATAGTATCTGGCAGGAGTCACACTAGCCAGAAATGCCTCACCTGAAGTCATCCCCTAGCACAGAACAGATTCTTGCCAAGTCCCAGATGAGAGGTGCCATCAAGTCCTGACCCATAGTGACCCTATAGGACAGGGCAGAACTGCCCCATAGTGTCCTGCCTGGGGTGTATGTAATCTTTGCAAGAGCAGATTACTAGGTGTTTTTCCCCATAGAACCCCTGGTGGGTTTGAAGGGCCAACTTTTTGGTCAGTAGCTGAGCACGTAACTATTTCACCATGTGGCTCCTTCAATTATTCCTTCTTTCCTTATTTCCCTTATTTCCCTTCATGTTTTGAGTTTACAAAGTTTATAAACAAAGTTACAAAGTTTGTAAACAAAGTTTACAAAGCCTATTGGTGTTTTATTCAATTATCCACACACATTTAGTTTTCATCCCCAAATTATATGTTGTCTTTCTTTTCAACTAGGACTCCTTTTATATAAAATATTGCCCCATTAATCAGTATTTATTGCATGTTTATTGTCATGCATCAAAAAAACCCTTAGCAAGCATCTATGTGGTGAATCCTCATGACAATCAGGCCACAGGAGAAAGTAGCACCTCCTTGTACTTTGTAAACTTCAGGTCAGCAATGCCCTGAGGCAGCCTGCAACAGTGGGTAGATAGAAGAACACAGCATGAGTTGTACAGCTTCTCTGTGCTCCATTCTTCACTCTGCCTTATTTGGAGGGATGGCCTCGTTTGGAGGATGGAAGATGAATCCTGTCTACCCCCACTCAGCAGAGCAGCTGAAAGTCATACAGGGCCTGGAGCTACATGGATGTCCATGGGGTCAATCTTTGAGTATGGAGGTTCCACCTGAGACTTTCCTCGCACACCCTATCAAAGAGCATCTCGAACCAGTGTGTCCCCATTTGTGGGGAAGCTACTCTGTATCCAAAAGGAAGACAGCAGATCCTTGATGTTAGTGTCACCTCTGCCACAGCCCCCTGCCCACATCTCCAGAGCAAGGTGGCTCCTAGGAGAACCCACTGACACCCAACTTGACACAAACTTCTGTCCTAAGTCAAGGATAAGTCATTGAAAACAACATTGAAAATGAGAAAAGATTCTGATAACTGGAAAGTACACTTTTAAAGAAGACTTGTACCCAGCAATTCCTCCACATAAGGAGGTTTTCTCAAAGAAATTATGACTTTGGGGAAACATTGATGTTGAGAGGTTAAGTCAATAGACTGAGGTAAAGAAAAAATGTGACAGAATTTTTAAAATAATGTAAAGGATTAGTGTCACTATAGATATTTAAAGAAATTGGAGCAGGGAATGGATATGGAAGCAGTTAATAAAGAGCCAATGTATGGATAACTGGTTTCCCAAGAAGAAATTAGGCCAAATAGAACAGGGGGGAAAGGGAAGTATAAAACTATGAGTTCAGCTGCAGCTAACACATCTGGCCCAAATGGACTTTTCTTATGTAAGGCCTTTTTTTTGGTGGCCTCACAAAACAAAAACAAAACAAGACAAAAATATCCCAAACCACCAAACAATCCATTTTTAAAAAGAAAGAAAACTAATAAAAACAAATGGAAAGGTTTTTAAGAATCTAGCAAGAGATTTTACCTGAAGAAAAACTTATATGGGCAGATAGAAAAGTCCATGGAGTAATAAACCCATGTCATCAGGTAGATTCTGACTTGACTGGCCTTATAGGACAGAGAAAACTTCCCCACAGGGATTCCCAGGCCGAAATCTTTATGAAACAAACGGCTACATCTTTTGTCCTTGGAACAGCCAGTGGGCTAAGACTGAAAGATTTTAGCTGCTGAGCTGGGTACCCAGACACATCCTGCTGATCATACAAAGTCTTGGGGGTAATAGAAAATTTTTCTATCATCTAGAATCAGGGAAGGAGATGGATCTTTAGATCTTTCCCTCAAGGTCTTTCATCAACTATTTATTCAGAAAGTGTAGCAGTGACTGAGGCAAACTCTTTCTCACCCTCTCATGGTCAGTCAAGGATGCACATCTGCTTGAGGAACCCTGGGGGGGGGGGTGGCAAGTGTGCCCAGTGGGAGAAAACTGCTGCAAAGGAGTGCTAGGGTCACAAAGAAGGTGGGTGAGCTCAGGGGTGCGAGAACTGCTGGGGAATTTCTTCCCAAGGTAATCAGGATTCCAGTAGAAAATTCAACATTTTAAATCTCAAAAATTTAAAAAAAAAACAAAACACCAAAACCAACAGGACAAAGTGCATCTGGGGCCTCTTTGAACCTAAAGCATATTGAGGGTGAGTGGAACCATTTTGGTATAATAAAGGTTTAGTTATTCTCATTTGGCATCATTACCAAAACTTACTTGATAATAGTGTGCATCATAATTAAGAGCTCTGTATGTGGACAGATTTATTTTCTTGAAAGAGAAGTGTGCTTTCTCAAGATAAATTGCAGATAGTGTAATAGATGTCAGTTGTCGTAACTGTAAATGAAATTTGCTCAATAGAAATCTTTTCAGGGGCAGCATTTTTATACTTCCAAATAAAATGAAAAACCTCCAAGTTACCAAATCATTCTCTTCACCACCTTCCTGGAATTTCATTTCTTAATAGCATTCTCTATTGACAAGACTTTTCTTTCAGAATTTGTTGTCATACATAATGGAATCATCACAAACTACAAAGATCTGAGGAAATTTCTGGTAAGATACTTCCCCAGGGTAACATCCAAGTAGAGCTGTATTGGTTTTCCCCAAAACTTTTAATCCAGCTCATTTCCTTCTGGGAACAAATGCAGGAAGTGAGGACCAATCTTGACCACACATAAACCTCAGCCTCAGCTGAGCTAGCCTCCTCACATCTTGTCAGAGGCTATAACACTAAGACATTAGAGCACTATTACGGAGTCAGAAAATAAAAGTAATGTGAACCATATATTGAAGTATTTGCACTGCCTCACATATTGACTCACATACATGGGATGTGGGTGGGAAAGTCAGCCAGTGAGTAAAGTATGAATAGGTGTTGGTTGAGGTGTAGGTGGATTTGACGCAACATTTTATCATTTTTGACTGCTGTTATTTTGCAATGTGCAGATTAATGAAAAGGACAAGTTCCTGAGTGGGATGATCTCAGAGAATACTGGAATGACTAAGTAGTATTTTGGGCTGCGATTCTGGCAAATGTATCTTTTCCTAGTTTTCACTGTTTTTTGCCTTAAGTCATAAAGGAGGAGAGGTGGTCATTAAACTGTGCCCGTTATCTGACCCTCATCTCTAACCAAATATTCTAGGAAAGCAAAGGCTATGAATTTGAGTCAGAAACAGACACAGAGACCATTGCAAAGCTGATTAAATATGTGTTCGACAACAGAGAAACGGAGGATATTGGGTTTTCAACGCTGGTGGAAAGAGTCATTCAGCAGTTGGTAAGTTCTAAGTCTCATCTGTCTGAATCATTCCTTCATTTACATAGTAAAACATTTACTAAGTGAATTTGAGAGAAGTGCTGAGGATAAAAGATGGCTCATGTATAGTGTCTGACCTTAAATATTACCTTCTTATAGAATGGGATAAATTCAGTACTTTTTTTTTCATGTAGTTAAGTGTCAGAGAGAAATTGCCTTTCAGCTTTCTTCAGCTCTTTGAGAACAGTTTTTAACATACATATAATAGCTGTGAAGGTGCTTCACGTCTAGGGCACGTATTGCACACTTGAATTTGGTCATGGTGGTTCATGTTGTCTGTTCACTTGAGTGGTATACACTTTATGTTAATACACAACAATTTAACCGATTCATCAAAAAGGTTTAGAATTGTAGTCTTTCCTCTTGTGATGTCAATAGTTATGCACCACAGGGAAGATGTACTCACTCCATCACCAAATGGAGCTGATGGAATAGAAAACAGTATGGGCTTCAAAGAAGTTTGATTCTACAAGGGATAGAGAAATGGAGGTGGGGAACCTGGCTTTGTTATAGGAGCTCACAGAACAGAATTACATGCAGAATTACAAGGGAATGACTCAGAGGAGAAAGATTGATGGTCCGGGGAGTCAAAGATGATCCTATGTAGGGAGCACATGTTCTTTAAGGGGTTGGCCAGGAAAAGAGCCCTTCGTTGAAGAAGGCAGAACAAGCAGAGGCTCTATGGGATGGGGTAGGGAGAGGGCTCCCAAGCATCCCAGAGCCAATCCTTCCAGGAAGTGCTGTCAGATTGCTCTTCCAAGGTGGTGACAGTCTGAAGACAATATTGAGACTCAGAACATCTGAGGTCAGAGGCTGCAGTAAGGGCAGCACTATATTTACAATGGATCATCCTCAGGTGCGTTCAAACAGCCGTCCTCAAACAGAAGTCTACAGTTAGAAACCCTTTACCTAGGACTTCCATTTTGAGAGTCATGATATATTAATAAATAAGCCCTTGTTCTACAAGTAGTGTACAATTTGATATATAGAAAACCAAATTGGTATTGAATTATGGTATTTCCTCTTTTCCTTTTTAATTCTAAATTTCTGAAATGTCTCCCCAATAATAAATTAAAACTTCAGAGCCTTTTTTTATACCTAAAGCAGCATGAGACTCTTTGGGGCAGGAAATAGGAAGTGCCTATTTGATCCTACTTCATAGTCCAAAAAGCTAGGAGGATAAATATCAACCCCCATGGAGTCTACTTGAAACCCTTGAATTTTGGGCACTTTGAATGGCTCTTTCAGGCTGGAGGATGCTGGCTGCCTCTGGGCCCCTCTGAGTAGGCAGCTGGGTTGGCCCAGGATTCCAAACCATAAGAGCTTTCACATAAAAATTCGGAGTTACAGCTGGTTTCTATATAACAGATCATAGATTAGTACAGGACAGTGACAATGGAGAGTAGAATTTTGCACCAAGAACTTAAAAGAAAAAGCATCTAGTTAGGAGAAGTAGACGTTAGTTCAGGCTCTGCGCAAACGAGCAAGCTGAGAGGAGGCAAGTCACAATGCTAGAAATAATAAGAACAAAATACACCATGACCAAGTAGGATTCATAACAGATATGCGA